ATTATAATTATATTATTATAATTTATATTTTAATATAACAATAATATAATACAATATGTTGATAATAAGTTTGATGATTTGTAAGAATTAGAATTTACTATGTTTATTATTATTATTATGGCAAACAAAATAACAAAAACAACAGACATAATAATAACATTTATTATTATTATTTAGATTTGTAAAATAATAGCAATAATAATAATAACAATAATAGTACATTATAATACAATATAATTTTTGTATTTAGAGTTGTATTATTATGATGATGATGTGCCACTTTTATAACAATAAGAATTAATATTATTATGTGCCACTTTTATAATAATTGTAATATACATTTTTATAATATTTATTATAATTCTAATAATGTATATTTTTATTACATTTTAATTTGTAATTTAATTATAATTGATTGTCATTATTGTTGTTATTATTCTTAACATATATAAACATTTTAGAATTATAATTTAATTTTTTTATAATAATTGTTAGCATGTGCCACCTTTATAACAATAATAATTGTAACTTATTATTACTGGATGATGAAGTTTACAATTGTACAAGATTAATGCTAAAGTTGTTGCACCTTACCTCATAAAGTTATGTCTAATTAATATGAAATAATTATTGCTGGGCAGACATTAGTAGCAGTTTTCTACATTCGAGCCCATATTTTATAAGACATAGTGTTTCTGGGAAAGAAAGAAAAACGTCGACCTGGATAAAGTGAGGAGACAGCAACTTAAACTAGGACAAAAAGTGTGAAGCAGAAGATGAAAGAGAAAGAGAGGAGTAACACAAGCAGAGGTGAGATTATTCTGTATTTGGGCTTTCAGACGCTTGTCAAAACACGGCTTCGTGCTGTTGTTCTGAATGTGAGGAAACATCACCATAGTTGTTTATCTAGACTTACTTTATATCTAGTTAAACTAGCAAAAGATGTTTTGAAATTTCAGTTAGTTTGAGGTTTTAGGCCTTGACGATAAAATATATATCGACTGCAATGTAAAACGCTTTAGATAAAAGCATCCTGCAAATGCATAAATTTCAATTTACATCTTTACCCTGACTGTTGCGCTCTCATACATA